AGTATATAACCCATTGCTGCTGCCCAACCCCCCTTTTTTGTACTTTATTTATTTTTATTAATTTTATTGAGAAATAAATAGCAATGAGACAGTTTCAAAACTGATTAATAGGACAGTTTCAATAATTAATATATTGCATATTGTTGTCTTCCCAATCCCTTGATTTTTTCACTGATTATAGATTAATAAGAATATGGTTAACAAAAGGAAGGTATTTCACATTTTTCTCTACAAAACATTTTTTACATTCTGACTTGGCACTAAGCTCACTCTTGTCATGGAAGACTCTCTAAAGAAATTTGTTTTACATGAAAACTTTTTAGGAAAGTAGTATGAGTAAAAACCATTATGTCTGGTTTCCTAGCAAAGTTTAGAACTAAGATGTAAAATGTAAAAACAAGATCAAATGAAGTGGGGAAGCAAATTGCTATTGTGTATTCACAAATCCACTCTGAGATCTGACAAACTTGAACTTGAGTGATTGGCAGTTTGCATTATTAAAGCAGTTCTTCAAAAACAGTTCCACTAAGGCTTTTTATTATATCAGATAATCAGAATATTCAATTTTACACATGTCAGTTATTGTACTTGCTGTCTTATGTGAGATATCTTTCTCTGCCCCCTCCGTAGTTCCATACAGATTTTCCCATGAGGCTCTATGAAATATGAACTAATACATATTAGCTTATTTCATATTTGCTCTTCACACCAAAATGTCAAGGATGTCAAATATTTTTATGTTGATATTAAATAATGACTCATAAAGATTAGAAGTCAGCTAATAAACTAGTAAATTGCGGAGCAGGAAATAGAACCCAAAACATGTAACTTCAATGTGCATTTTTCATATCACATGTGTTTTTATGCATTTAAGACTAATGTAATATGTCAATTTCATTTGTATATGTAAAATTTTAATTTTATAAGTAAAATTCAAAGGCACACAATTAGCATACCTGCTTTAGTTTCGGTATTTCTGTCCCCTTCAAAATTCACATTGAAGCTGAAGCACAGATGCCATAGCGTTAAGAGGGGAATCTCCAGGAGGTGACCAGTGCCCTTACAGCATGACTCAGGAAGTACTTTGTTGTCCCTTTACTCTGCTACATGAGAAAAGAGTTTGTCCCTCTTCTATTCTGTCCCTTCCTTCATGCATGGACATCTGGATGACACTACTCATGTTGAACACATCTCCATTAGACAAGGAGTCTGGAAGCAAATGGTCTTGAATTCCCAGCCAGCAGAACAATGAGAAATAAATTTTCCTTCTGAAAAAACATTATCCAGTCTTGCATATTTTTATAGCAGCACAAATAGACTAAGACACTTCTCCATCTCACTATGACAGAAGCTATGCAGCTCTTTGGTTAGATTACGTACGTACTTTTAGTTCCCCCTTTCAACCTTTTGCTTTCTTTTCCTATACTACGAGCTTCTTTTCCAAAGGATCATACACAACTAGTGCTACTGGAGCTAGCTGTGTCTTTTCTGCTTCACCTTCTGCCACGTGAGGACACAGAAACAGGGAGCCTTTTGGAGAGCAAGGTGGCCTCTTCCAGAACACGCTAGCCTTTGATTCTGAACACCCCAGCCTTCATATGTGTGAGAAATTTCTGTTATATACATCTTCCTTAGCGTCAAGCACTTTGTTACAGCCACAAAATGAGATAAGGCTACTAGTTAAGATAGTATATGATTAACAAAACCAAAATCTTCCTGTAGTCTGCCCTAAAAATTTTCTTAAGACTCTCCTTAAAATTCTCATAGTTCTCATTCTTCTAGGCTTCAGATCAATTGTTATATGTATTTGAAAGAAAGTAACTTAAGCCATTTTCCCCATTAATTTAGCAAGAATTAGCTTCGTATATTATTAACATTAGTCACTTAGCAAGAAAGAGCCTAGGCAAACAGGATGAAGAATCTGGCGGCTTAGGTTGGGTAAAGCACCTGCTGGTCATTGAAAGAGAGGACTCTAAGTCAAGTATAGTGGTCAGTCTGTAATCCCAGCTACTTGAGAGGCTGAAGCAGGAGGATTACAAAAGCAACTGTCCCCAAAATAAAAGAGATTTTAAAAGTTTGGAAATGTAGCTGAGTTCAATCTCCACTACTGAAAAAAAACTGATTGGAAAGAAACAGTACACCAAAGAGTATATACTATAAGAAAGTTCAAATTAATATGTAAAGCAGGTCCATAGTGAAAGATATCTAAGTGGTGTTTACCTTTAGAGGGTTATTTATGTGGAGGGGGAAACCTTTTACCTGAGAATGTTTTTGATGATTATTATACAGGTATATAAACACATCAGAATTTATTGTGGAGTAGGGTG